CCTTAGCCTCCCTTCTGTCTCCACCACCTGTGCTGGGCCCTGGACACTTGTGACTCCTCCCCAGTTCTCAGTCCCCAGTGCCTGGAGGTTCCCAGAGAACCAGTCAGCATCACTGCCTGCCCAGGTAAGTCTCTGTCCACCAGCCTAGAGTCAGAAGCTCCCCAGACCCCAGCAGTGCTGGTCTTGGGGCCCCCAACCCTCCTCCTGCTGCTTCTCTCCAGGGCTCTGGCCCAGACAGACACCTGGGCTGGTGAGTGCAGGGTGGAGGGAAAAGGCTTCTGCAGAGGAAGCTGCTGCCTTAGGCCCCTCTGTCACCCCCGTGTCCCCCTCAGTCCTGGTCCCTTTCTGTCCCCCCACCTGCCTCCTCCTTTTGTCCCCTGAGTCTTGCCCCTTCTGGACCCGCTGGCCCACTTTCAGTCTCTGGAGCTCCCTCCCTCCTGGACACTTTCTCCCCTGCCCCATCTCCCCGGGACTCAGGACCTGCCCCGGGAGGAGGGTCCGCCCGGCTTTCACCCCTCCCCGCCCCCAGGCTCCCCCTCTCTGAGGGTGTTAGAAATGGTGATGTCCCTCCCAGCCTCGGGGAGCCCCGGTGCATCGCGGGGCTACGTGGACGACACGCAGTTCGGGGTTCGACAGCGACTCCCCGGGCCAGAGCGCGGAGCCGCGGGCCCCTGGGCGGGCGGGCGGGGCGGGAGGGTCGGGCGAGGAGACGCGGCTCCGCAGACACTCGGCGCGGAGGCTCCAAGCGCTCCCGGAGGCCCCGCGCGGCCGCCGCAGCCAGAGCCGGGCCGGGGAGCAGCGCGGGCCAGGGCGGGTCACCGCTCCCCCCCACCCCCCGCCCCGAGTCTCGGGGCCCCGTGACCCCCGAGGCCGTGGCCCCTGTCAGGCCCCTTGACCAGGGAAGAGCCCGCGGGACTTTCCCCCTTTAGGTTTTATTTAAGTTCAGGATTATTCAGGGCGGGAGATCGGGTGCGGGCGGGAGACCACGGGGTGACTGAAGGGCGGGCTCAGGGTCTCCCACGGTCCAGAGGACTCTGGGCTGCGCCGCGGGGCCCGACGGCGCCTCCCCCGCGGGCACGACCAGCTCCCCACGACGGCGCCGGGGACGCGCCCTGGGCGGGGACCTGCGCGCCTGGACCCGGCGGGCCCGCGGCTCAGCTCCCCGGCGCGAGGGGGAGGGGGAAGGTCGGGCAGAGCAGGACGGGAGCAGCCTGGGGGCGGGTGCGTGGAGGGGCCCCCAGACTCCTGGGGATGGGGAAGGAGGCGCCGCAGCTCAGAGGTGAGAGGGCTGCGGGGCCTTTGATCTCCCTGAGGCGCGCACCCCGCAGGGAAATGGAATCATGGTGAGGAAGCGCCCCCTTCTGGCCAGAGAGGGAGCTGTCGGCCACGTGTTCCAGCTCTGGGATGGAGACTGGCCCAGAGGCTCCTACTTTTTCTGAAGGACAGTTAAGGAATCCAGTTCCTCCTGAGAAAGAGGGGAGACCACCCATGAAATCACCCTTCACTGGATCCTTTTGACCGGCGCCATCTTAGAAGCAATGAGTTTCTCTCTCGAGATCTTGTTTTTTGGTCAGAGAGCATTTTTGGAGATCTCACTCCTGCCTGTCTGTGTCATCACCCTCCACCCAGGTCAGCAACAAAATGCTCAGAGACCTGCATCCCACCCTGGGCTCTCACCTACTATCCCAGACTCCCAGACCAGGCTGGTTTCTGGGGTTTGTGCCCCTCCCTCCATCTACACTGTTCTCTCCACTGGAGGATGGTCACATGAGGCTGCTTCAGTGTCCATGGAGGAAACAAAAAGCATTAAAATTCCATTTCTTCCTACTCAGGCCCCCCAATCGCCATATGTGACCCATCACCCCATCTCTGAGCATGAGGTCACCCTGAGGTGCTGGGCCTTGGGCTTCTACCCTGATGACATCACCCTGACCTGGCAGCGAGTTGGGGAGGACCTGACCCAGGACACAGAGCTGGTGAACACCAGGCGGAGGGGCAGTGGGGACTGGAAACTTCCAGAAGTGGGCAGCTGTGGAGGTGCCTTCTGGAGAGGAGCAGAGATACACATGCCATGTGCAACATGAGGGGTTGATAGCACCCCTAGTCCTGAGATGGGATAAGGAGGGAAATGTGGGCACAGAGGCTGACTCGGGGCCATCAGAAGCCCTTCTGGAGACCTTCAGAGAGTCAGACCAAGGCCTCAGGTTCAGGGTCTGACCTTCCCTTCCCTTCCAGTGCCACCTCCTCAGTTCTCCATCCTTGCCGTGGTCCTCATTTCCAGCTCGGTTTTCTTTAGAGGTGCTCATTGGACACCAGGTGGCTTCATGTGTGAGGGGGTAGAAGAAGTGCTCAGGTAGGGAAGGGAGTGGGGGATCTTGTCCACTGGGGGCTTTCATGTCCCAGGGAGAACTTGCCCTGCCTGGTTAATGGGAAGTACCATCCACACACACGGGTGTTGCCCAGAGGGCATTTGGTCCAGTCCCCCTTCATGTCCTTTCCTCATTTTTCCCAGTCCTGACCTGGGTCTTTAGTCACAGTTCTGGAAACTTCCCTGTTCTGCAGGATTAGAAGATTCCTTTAGGACTTCTGACCTGACTACTCCCTGGTCTCACCTGATGCTTCTTCCCACAGGAGGACAAGGAGGAAGCTACACTCAGGCTGCAAGTAAGTGTGGTCAAGGCTTTGATCCCTGAGCCCTGGGAATGGTGTAGATGGAGCCCATGAGAGAGTCACTCTCATCAGTTTCTCCTGTGGTCTCCTCTCACCAAGTTTTGTTGTGTTCTCCCCCAGGCAGCCACAGTCCCTGTGCTCTGAAGTGTATCTCCGCCCCTATAGGTGAGACCCTGGAGAATTGCAGTGGGGGTGGGGATTGAGGCAGAGAGGCTGGGACTATGCAATGGGGATGCTTTCAGGAGGACATCTTGAGAATGCAGTGGACCATTGATAATGTTAACACTCGGGTAATGAGTGAGCTGTCAGGGGTGAAGATGCCACCACATCCTAGCAGGGGCCAGGACAGGAGGAGGGGTCCTGCCCAGCTCCTTACACCTCAAGCCAACCATAAACCTCCTCCTCTTCTGCAGGTCCAATGCTTTTTCAGTCCCACTCAGAAGCTCCTTCTCCATGGAACTGTATTTATTGGGGTGTTGTTCTGACACTCTTTACACTGTGTGAAATTTGAATTACTTTATTCTGGGGCTTGATGTTAATTGACTTCCCATCATTTTATATTGTGTACCCTGTCATTCTTGTTACACACACACACACGCGCACACACACACACACACACATGCGCACATTCCCCTCTCCTTGGGAACCAGCCCCTCACTCAGCACTGGGGTACTCTGACCCTCTGTCTCTGGTCCCCTCAGAGCCTCCCTCTCTGCAGTGTCTCTACTCAGCAGTGCCTGGGCAGCCCCAGGAGTCCCTGCACCTCCTGCCTCTGCCCTTGTGGGCAACCAGCCCCTCACCCTGCATGGCAGTGAGGAGGCGAAGGCCAAGTCCTGAGGTCAGTGACCAATAGAGGAGACAATTTACCTTTTTCTTTTCTTTTCCCCTCATTGTATTATTCAGTTGAGGTTAGCATTGGTTTACACACTGTATGTGTTCAGAGGCAAGGGTCACATCTCTTCAGATGTTTGTTACCACATCACACCCACCCTAAGGGCACCCATAGTCTTCACTACAGTCCATCGGGCCCTCTTCCTACTTTGTTTCCTACTCTTACCCCCAGCCATAGCTTCAATTCTACAGTCATATATATAGAATATGTTTTGGTTTAGTTTCATCTGTCCCAACTTTGTTTCTTTATATTCCAAATATGAATGAAATCATCTGTATGTAACTTTTTCCTTCAAATTTATTTCACTTAGCATAATCCCATCCATATCTATCATGTTGTTGCAAATTCAATATTTCATCTTTTTCACAGCTGAGTAGTATTCCATAGTGTGTATAGCTTGTGTTCTTTATCCCCTCATCTGCCGTTGGGCACTTAGTTTGTCTCCATCGCTTGGTTATGGTGGACAGCGCTGCAGTGACCGTAGGAGGCGCACATTCCTCGGAATTATTGTTTTTACCTTCTTTGGATAAATACCATGGAATGGGATGCTTGACCATATGACAGGTCTATTTTGAGGAACCTTCATTTTTTTTTTTCCCCATAGGGGCAGGACCAATGTGCTATCCATAGAAAACAGAGGTACCAAGTTACCACCCCGCCTAAGGAAAGGTGGGGCTGAGCAGGGATGAGAAGCTAAGGAAGAGGAGGAAGACGTGGAGCAAGATGGGGAAAGGAGACTGAGGAGGTGCATGGAGCAGAGAGACATGTGAAGAAGAAACCACGCCTTGCTTCTCACTTGGACTTGTTCCATGGAGTTGGGGACATGGAAAGAGACATGTGAAAGAGATTAAAAACATGGGTGAGAGACTCATGGGGAGGCTGACAATGACCGCTGTTATCTTGTCATGGATTTAGATTTTGTTCTTTTCCTTCCAGACTTGCCTGACCCCTCCTGACCCTTTCCCATGGGTCTCTACCAGTAGGTGCCTTAGCCTTGTGGCAGGCGTTCGGGCCCCAGTGGGCCTGCTTTGGGCCCAGCCTGTTTGGCTGGGCATTGACCCATGAGGGGACGGGTAACTTTGGGTGCTTCACTTGGGAACTATACTAACTATATTCTTTCTCTTCTTCTCTCTCTATTGCACACTGATTCTCTATTTTATAGTAATTGTATTAAAGTTCTTTTCTATTGAAGGTCTTACACTTTAGTGTATGTTTTGTCTTTATGCAGCTGATGGCAGATCCCATGTAGAGTGTGCAGTTTTGAAGGTCCAGGGAACCCCTCATTCTGCCCACTGACAGGACAAGACATCATTCCCACCCACCATGTGCCAGAGTTCCTTTTTCTCCACACCTTTCAATGGGTCATTCTCACAGATGTGAGGTGGGAACTCACTGTGGTTTTATTTATTTTTTAAAGATTTATTTATTTATTTATACAAGCACTGGGTACAGTAAGAAGCGCAGGAGGGTGAGAGAATTCACCAAAGCCAGAGCAGGGAACAGAACAGGCAGGCTGTCGAAGAAATACACTGCTGAGGGGAGCAGCAGGAGGGGCAGGTGAGGTCTGTTGCACCATGTGGGACCCTCGCCTGCGGCCGGGGATCAAACTGGCTTGCAGAGGCTGCTGGCAGCTTCGCAGCCCAGTGCTCAACCGCTGCGCCACCAGGGGAGGCCTTCATTGTGGTTTGAATTGGCATTTTTCTGACAGCACATGATGATAAACTTGTATCCATATATCTATTGGCCACATGTGTATCTTTTTTAGAAAAGTACCTATTTAGCTCCTCTCCTCTGTTTTGAGGTGTTTTCTTGTTTTGGAGTTCTTTGTAGATCTTGGATATTAAATCCTTATTGGATTGATGATGTACAAATAGTTTCTCCAATTTGATATTGTCTTTTCATTTTAAGGATAGCTTCCTTCACTATGTAGCTTTTTAGTCTGATGTGATTCCACTGGTTCCTTTTTGCTTTTGAATCCTTGGAGCACAGAAGACACTATGGGCAGTGAAAATCCTCTGTATGATATTCTCATGATGGACACAGGTCATTACACGTGTCCAACACCCCAAGAATGGACAATACCAGAGTAAACCCAAAGGGAAACCATGACTTTGCAACTATGACGAGCAGGTCCATTACTTGTAACCCACGTGTCAGTCTGGTCTTAACACGTGATTTGGTCATGATGTGTGAAGAGTTTTATAAGTTGAGGAATGAAGTGTAATTTACTTTAGAAAGCATATTTCATGCTCATACAAGGACATTTAAATAACACTCAAGGATACGCATAAGTCATTCCCCTCCACCCCCAACACCCCAATCAGCCAGTATCTGCTCAAAACCTAGCAATTTATCTTTTCTCTTCCAAATATATGTATCTCCATGCTCCTGTCTGGGCAATAGTGTTCGTTTTCCCATCAGTAAAGGAGTTCAGTTCACAGAGTTGGGGGGAAACATTTGCAAATCACGAATCTGACAAAGGACTGTATCTACAAATAATGCCGAAAACTCAATGATCAGAAAGAAATAACCCAATTTTAATAAGGACAAAAATAGTGTAATAAATGAATGGCACCTCATCTGTAAAAATGTACAAAACTTCTATAATAATGGCAACTGTAGTCATAGAAAAGTGAAAATATGAACAAATGCTCACTATCACAGTTAAGAACAGTGACACCATCACACCTAGGAGAGACTGAAAATGCAAACTCTGCACAATATCAGGTGCTGTCAAGGGTGTGAACAACAGAAGCCTCATTACATTCATTTTTTTAAATTTTTTTATTTATATAAGAGCTGGGGTACAGGCCCAAGTCGCGGGAGAGTGAAAGGGTTCACCAGAGACCTGATTCACCAGATCTGGTGAATCAGGATTCACCAGAGTGGGGAGCAGAACAGACAGACGGACTGAAAGCACTGCTGAGGGAAGCAGCGGGCGAGAGAGGAGATGTCTGCCCCGCCAAGTGGGAGTCTTCCTGGCTGGCCGGGAATCGAACCTGCACTGCGGAGGCTGCGGACAGCTTCACAGCACTACGTTCAACCCACTGTGCCACCGTGGAGGGCCCTCATCACATTCATTTTAAAAGATGCTTTAGGGGCTGAGAGACACATCAGAGCCCTGGGCACTGTTGTTGCCTGGTTGAGAACAAAACAGAACCTGGTAAGAGATGACACCACAGGAGGGACAGATGAGGGTGACTCCCCCATGGAGTCCATTTACACTGTCCCCAGGGGCTCAGGGTCAAACCACTGATCTACACTTACCTAGAGCCTGAGTGTAACTTCCTCCTTGTCTCCCTGTGGGTAGAAAAATCATGTGAGACCAGGGAGCAGTCAGGTCAGAAGCCTAAAGGAATCTTCTAATCCTGCACCACAGGGAAGTTTCCAGAACTGGGACTAAAGACCCAGGTCAGGACTGGGGAAAAAGAAGAAAGGAGGTGAGGAGGGACTGGAGCAAATGCCCTCTGGGCAACACATGTGTGTGGATGGCACTTCCCAATAAACAGGCAGGGCAAGTTCTGCCTGGGACAAGGAAGCCCCAAGTGGACAAGATCCCTCACTCCTTTCCCTACCTGAGTGCTTCCTCCTCCACATCACAGCTGCAGCCACCGCAGCTCCAGTGAGCACAGCTCCAAGGAGAACCAGGCCAGCAATGATGCCCGCGGTGGGGATGGAGGACTGAGGAAGGGGCACTGGAAGGGAAGGGAAGATCATACCCTGAGCCCCAGACCTTATCCTGACCCTCTGAAGGGCTCCAGAAGGGCTCCTGATGGCCCTGAGAACAGCCTCAGTGCCCACATCCTCCTCCTTACCCCATCTCAGGACTTGGGGCTCCAGCAGTCCCTCATGCTGCACGTGGCACGTGTATCTCTGCTCCTCTCCAGAAGGCACCACCACAGCCGCCCACTTCTGGAAGGTTCCATCTCCCCCAGGCCTGGTCTCCACCAGCTCCATCTCCTGGGTCAGGTCCTCCCCATCTCGCTGCCAGGTCAGGGTGATGTCCGCTGGGTAGAAGCCCAGGGCCCAGCACCTCAGGGTGACCTCATCCTCAGAGGTGGGGTGGTGAGTCACATGTGTCCTTGGGGGATCTGAGGTGGTAAATCAGAAAAGTCATTTTGTGTTTCCTCCATGGACACTGAAGAATCCTCATGAGAGCATCCTCACAATGGACAAGACAACTGGTGTGGCAGGAAGAAGCATAAACTGTAAAAAACAGGCTAATCTGGGGAATCTGTGCGATTCTCCTATTCCTAAGAAAGTTCTGGAATGAGGAGGAAAGCCCAGGGTAGGATGAAGCAGAGGGAGTGGAACACAGACGTTTTATTCCTGACCTGGGTGGAAGGTGAATGACACAGAAAAGCAGGGATCACATAACTGAAAATGTTCTCAGACCAGAAACAAGACTGAGAGAGAAACTCGTGGTTCTCAAACAGGCCCCTGGTCAAAAGGACCCGGTGACGCGTGATGTCAGGGACTGTCTGTCTTTCTCAGGAGAGACGGGATCCCTTCACTGTCCTTCAGAAGAAGCCGGAGTCTCTGGGAGTCTCTCTAGTGCAGAACATGAACCCCAGGGGAGTCCCCCTCTCGGGACTAGGGAGAGGACTCGTTTCCCGCAGTGACTCCAGGCAGGGGGGGACCGGGAGGCCTCCAGGCCCCTCTTACCCGTGCGCTGCAGAGTCTCCTTCCCGTACTCCAGGCATGTGCGCAGCCACCTCAAGCACCTGCCCTCCGCATAGTTCCTGAATTTCTCTGCCTCACCCCGGGCCTCCCACTCGCGCCGGGTGATCTGAGCGGCCGTGTCCGCAGTGGTCCAGGAGCGCAGGTTCTAGTTCAGGGCCAGGTAATCAGCGCCGTCGTAGGCGAACTGATCATACCCGTGGAGGAGGCGCCCGTCGGGCCCCATGTCGCAGCCAAACATGTTCTGGAAGGTGTGAGAGCCTGTCCCTGCCCCGTCACCCCGGGATCTCCCCGCCCACGCCCCCTCCCGCCGGGAATAAACTAAACAGAATGAAATGGGGTGAAAGTCCCGCGGGCTGTTCCCGGGCAGGTTGCAGAGAAGCCTGGAGGGGGAGACCCTGAGCGACCCCCGTCTGTGGGGATGGGGGTGCTGACCCGGCCCGGACCCGCGCCAGCTCACCAGTCTCCCTCTGGTTGTAGAGGCCCTGCAGGGAGTCCAGGTGCTCTCCGTACCTCAGTGTGCGCTCCCTTAGGATCCGCGTCCTCCCGTCCTGCTCCTCCTGCTCCACCTGCCCTGCCCAGGGCGCCCGAGGCTCCGCACTCTGGCCCATAGAGTCGCTGTCGAAGCGGTTGAACTGCGTGTCGTCCACGTAGCCCACGAAGATGAAGCGGGGCTCCCCGAGGCCGGGCCGGGTCATCGCGGTGGAGAAAAACCTCACGGAGTGGGGGCCTGGGGGCGGGAGGGGAGACCCGGGTTATTCTTCTCCCCTTCGGGGGCTCGAGTCCCAGGGGGCGCCCACGAGACAAAAAGTGGGTGAAAGACGAGTGAGAGCGAAAAGCGCCTGCGGGACGAAAATGGCCGGGACTCGGGGGGCCAGAGGAGGCTGGGGTCTCGGGGGACGGAAAGGGGCCAGGACGGGGCGGGGCCGAGGTGGGGGGACACCTAGGGCGGCGGCGAGGTCGCGCCTTTCCCACCCCCGCCCACGCCCTCGCTCCCGCCTCTGGGAGCGCCCTGTCCCCTCCCGACCCGCACTCACCCGCCCGGGTCTCCCTCGGGGCCGCGGCCCCCGCGAGCAGCAGCAGGAGGGCTGCGCCCCCCATCCCCCAGGACGCGCCTCCACCCGGGCTGGGGAGACGGAGTCCTGGCGGGTGGGTGGGGGCTTTGGAACGGGAGCCGCGGGGCTGCTGATTGGCTGCTCTGGAGACCTCCAGGCAATGGGGAGTGAGCCCTGGGGTGACTCACCAGTATCCAGGCAGGAGGACCCGCCCAGGCTGTGAGCCCAGAAGTGGAACCGAGGGGAGAGGGCGAATCCCCAGCAGTCACCTTCCAGCCCTGCACCCCGCGCTGGGGACTGAGACCCAGACAGCCACACCCCGAGACCTGGGACTTTGCCGCCCCCTCCTCTCCTGCTCGGAGACCTTTGTCACACCGTGTCCCTGAGTCCAGGCCCAGGGACTGGGTCCGCAAGTCTCAAACATTTTTCTTTCAGAAACTCTGTACAGTCTCACAAATTATTACGGATCCCATGTATAATTTTGTTATGTGGGTTACAGCTTTAAATATTTACTTTACTAGAATAAAACCTTTTTAAAAGATGTTATTGCTTCTTTACTTTAGAATATAAATAACCTGGGGCCTCCCTGGTGGCGCAAGGGGTTAAGCATCAGCACTGTGAAGTGACCTGTAGCTGCAGCAGCACAAGTTGGCCAGGGAGCAACTCACATGGCACCGCAGACCTCTCCTGCCTCACCTGCTGCTCCCCTCAGCAGTGGATTTCTGTAGATCTGCCTGTTCTGCTCCCCACTCTCTGTCTTTGGTGAATCCACTCACCTGCCACACCTCTGGCCTGTACCCCAGTTCTTGTATGCATAAATAAATAAATCTTTTTTAAAAAGAATACTAATAACCTATGATATGCTAATGATGGAGTTTTTGAGTCAGTGGGTTTGGAGTGAGGGATTCTTGGGGTCACTCTGGGAAAGATGTCACCAGGGCTCCCGTTTCAGCGGTACGTGGAGAGTTCCCCAGGCAAGTTTCTTCACGAGACAGAGACACTAGTTATATTTAAAGGGAAGGTTTTTTACGGGAAAAGGATGTCCTAAAGCTAATTCCATACAGGCTTTGTGGACTCCACCCCCACCCCAGGCCAAAGCCAAAGACACTGGGAACTCCAAATCCCATCACCACCCAAGGGAAGGTGGCTGGGACCTGAGGGTGGGGTTAAGCAGCCAGGTTTGGTATAAAACCAGACACGTGGGCTTTGGTGGGGGGCTCTTTTTTTGGCTCTCCGCCAGCTGGCAGCACTTGGCCAGCTCTGAGAGTGCCTTTGTGTTTCCAGGTTGGCGAATAGGGTAGGACGCATTAAAGACTTTATTTCCCTATTTTCTCCCTGAGTTGTACATTTCCTCATTTCCCTTTCCCTTTTATTAACCTTTTGTGTGTGCCTGTAGTGGAGTACAAATAAGTCCCTTTTATGCGCGCAGGTGAGAACCCACAGCCAGGCAACCCATTTTTATATCGGGGCTGCTCAGGTTTATTAGGGAAAGGTTTATTAGGGAAAGGGACAGAAGAGTAAAGGATATTTGCATAGACACAGGTGGGCAGGAAGAGCTGCCCAGAAAGGGACAGGTTTGCTGAGAGAGGCCTGCATGGTTGCAAGTGGGCGGCCTTGAGGAGAGCTGCCTCCACTGAGGGAGGTCAATGAAGAGAAGTGCAGGCATGATACAGGTCATGGGCAGGCAGGAGGCTGCTGCCCTGCGGAGGAGAGATTTGGTGAAAAGAGGCACCTGCATAGTCACAGGTGGACAGAGGGAGTGCTACCCCAGCCTGTGCAGAGACCGCACTAATACAGTCTTCTGTTGGGGAGGGGCCACTCCTTGTGAGCCTTTGGGTTAGTTGCTGATTATGGATAACTGTGCAGAATCTGAAAGCGACCAGAGATTCCACCATGGGCTCAATCTCCATATCTTTACCCTTGGGCCTGAGCTCTAGACAGCAGTCTGATACCTGCTTGGATTTTCTGTTTTGTAATCTAGGCTTTGGTGCCTAAGGATCTTGGTTTCTAGATCTGTGTCAGTGGCTGTGTTAATCCCTTCTACCCCCTGCTCCTTGTGTGAGCCAGATTTCTGGTCTTGGGGAACCTCCTTTCCAGTCTTTTTCTATTGCTGTTCTCCATCATTTACTAACTTGACAACTTCCAGTACTATTTTTACTATTGGGATTTGTGGTGCAAAATAAAGTGAAAAAAAATTTTTTAAATAATTTGATTCCAGGGACCTCCCTGGTGGCGCAAGGGGTTAAGACGCAACCTATGAGGTAATCAGAAGCCTCTGCAGCCTCAATCTGCTCTGGATTCCCAGGCCAGCCAGGGAGCAACCCACATGGCATAGCAGACCTCTCCTGACTAGCCCACTGCTACCCTCAGCAGTGTCCTTTGGTCAATCTGCCTGTTCTGTTCCCCACTCTGTGTCTGGTGAATCCTCTCACCCCCCACACCTCTGGTCTGTTCTCCAGCTCTTGTATGCATAAATAAATAAATCTTTTAAAAAAATAAATAATTTGATTCCAGTGTAATGAATACTGAAGAGCTTTATGAAAGGTTTGGCCTGGTAAAGAAAAGGAGAGCCAGGCTAAACTTTCTCAAAGGAAGGGAAAATTTATTGCGCCCGGGCAGACTTCACGGACCCATGGTGGGGGTCAGTGAAGCCTGGTGGGCTGTTCCCAGGTGGGCTGCCTGGTGGGTTTTTGCATTTGGCCTCCTGCATGGACCTTGACTTTATAACTTAGTGGAACAATATATTACTTTAAAAAAAAAAATCACACATTAGCACAAGACCCAACCAATATGCAAGAGAGTGATGAGAAAATATATTATTGAGCAAATGAATATAAAGATTCCAGCAGAATTTCCAGTCTAGGTGCAATTGTAATAGAGTGGTGCCCAGGAAAATGTTCCCTCGCCCCACCCAAAGGAGGGTGGAGCTAAAGAGAAGAGAAGAACCTGGAGAGGAGACAGAAGAAGAAATGAAGCAGGATGGAGCCAGAAGGAGACATGGAGGAGGCACATGGAACAGAGAGACATGTGAAGAAACTGCGTTTGCCTTTTGGTCCTGAAACAGACGTGGTTGAGAGACCCATGGGGAGGAGAGCAATGTTAGCTTTTATCTTGATTTTGATTTTGCTCTTTTCCCTCCAGACTTGTCTGGTTGTCTGGTTATTTCTGATCCTTTTCTGTGGGTCCCCACTAAAAGATGCTTTAGATTTGTGGCAGGCTTTTGGGCCTCGCTCTGGGCCAATCCCATTCGGGTGGTCTTTTACCCATGAGGGGACGGGTAACTTTGGGTGCTGGATTTAGAAACTATATTCTTTGTCTTTTCTATATAGTTTACTAATTGTATTCAATTTCCTTTCCATTACAGTCTTAAATGTTTTGTCTTGATATGGCCGATGACAGAACCTATTTAGAGCAGGCAGGTTTGCGGGGCCTGGGGTGCTCCTCTCCCTGCCCTGTAACACAATGAACACTCCCATGCAGGCATAATTAACAAGTTTGCTTACTCACAGCTCTTTCCCTTCTAAGATGCATGGCCAGGGCCTGAGCACTCTTATCTACAACGTTGGGCAGTAAACCAGCTGGCCTGTCTCTTAAAGGGCATCCTCAAATACCTCATCTTGCCCCCTTTGCCTGGCGTCCCTTGTCTGGGGACTTTGCAGCAAATGGTTGTGCCTGCTTGTAGGGTAAAGAAAATATCAAGCTTTTCTGCCCTTCCGCCATCAGGATAGATGATGGATCCTTGTCCTGAATGCATGCCTGATGGCGGGCACCTGGAATAGGGTGTGGGCATAGGTAGATGGGATTCAGCTGAGCTAAGACTGTGCTTTTAAGGGCGGTGTCACGGGGATGCCAGCAGCAGCAGTAGAAGCCGAAGCCGAAACCGAAAGAGAAGCGGAGATCACCAGAGAGCCCAGATAGAGTGAGGATTTGCTGGGGGCTGGGAGGCCTGCCAGCGTCCCGCCCCCCCAACACCCCTGCCTGCCATATGCCTGGTGAACCCCAATAAAAGACCTGCAAAAAACCCACTGAGGACTCTGACTCCTCCTTTACCCGGTCTGCATGGGATCAGAAAACCTGCACTGTATCCAGTCCTGACCCTGCACTGCTGAAAACGATGCTATTGATGGAGGACAGGAATGAAAAAAACTGAAGAAAGGAAGCACCACAAGACCAGAAACCTGGCTGTAGGATAAATGGTTTTCAGGCTTTTCTGCCCTTCCACCATCAGGATTGCCTTGCCTGATGGGGCACCTGCAGTTGTTACATTGTTGCAAGCTGTCTGGTTTACTTCTGTGGGCCAGGAGGGGTATTGAGATAGGCTCCAGAGAAGCAGAAGCAGGAGAGCAGCAGAAGAGAAAAGGGGAGAAAGTAGCCAGAGAAGCCCAAAGTGAAGACTTGCCAGGGGCTAGGAGGCCTGCAGGCTTTCTGGCCCCCTGGCACCCCTGCCTACCCTGTACCTGTTTGCCACACTACATGTAAAGCTCAATAAAAGCCTAATAAAACCAATGCGGGCTCCAGGACTCTCCTTTACCCCATCTGCCGAATCATAAATAACCTGCTCTGTGGCCATCCTGGTCCTACACTGGCTCTCACAAGGATGGGGGTAGAAGAGATTAGCATAACCATCAACACAGTTGTGGAAACTAGGATCCTTCTGCACAGACTACACAGTTGTGAAAACTAAGATCCTTTGGCGCCAAAGCCTAGATTACAAAGCATAACATCCAAGCAGGTATCCCAGGGCGCATCCAAAGGTAAAAATATGGAGATTGAGCCCATTGTGGAATTTCAGGTCTTTTTCAGATTCTGCAAAGTTATCCCAAATCAGCCACTAACCCTAAAGCTTACAAGGAGTGGCCCCTCCCAACAGAAAAGGACTATATCAGTGCAGTCTGCACAAGCTTGGGGCAGCTCTCCCTCTGCCCACCTGTGACAGATACCTCTCTCCGCAGGGCAGCAGCCTCCCTGCCTGCCATGACCTGTACCTGCCAAGGCTTCTCCTCACTGACTTCCCTCAATGGAGGCAGCTCTCCTCAAGGCCGCTCGCCTGCAACCACGCAGGCCTCTCTCAGCAA